TGTAATAACCATGGCGATGGAGTACTACATGATGCCTGAGGTAAGAATAACAAAATGGCTGTTGTCATGGTTACAAGAAAGTGATTCAAGTCCCGAAGAAATTTCAAACCCCGGGACTAAACTTTAGTTTTGGACACATGTTAATGAGCCTGTGGAAACCCATGAAAACAAACATCTCAGAATGCATGGGACTTTTTTTAATATACTTAAATCATGTAAACTTTCAGAAAGTAAAGAAGTGTTAGATATAATGGAAAATACATTTTGGCCATGCTTAGAAAGTAGAATTAAGCTGTCCAACTTGAATTGAAAGGAAGATTGGAATGGTTGCACTGTTGGATATAGATCAGTCACTAGTTAAGCAATTAAATCATTGAATAAAAAATTCCACCCATTTAAAGAAAAACTTATTTCTTTATATGATCTTAATTTGTAAAATTTAAATATTTTTTTTTTTAATAGATAAAATTAATAGTGAAGAGTCAACAATTTTTTTCCCTTCAAAATTTGATATGCTAGAAAGAAAGAAGTATTGTTACCACCACAATTATTTTAATTACATGAATTTAATTTGTGTTGAAATGGCTGCTAATTTATTTAAGATATGTAAGAAAGAATTTAACATTTTTAAACAAATACTTTATTTAAACTTTGTATTTTAAAATCTTGTGAGATTCTGAGTATGAATATAAAGAATAAGGTAAAATTCACAATTAACTGTTAAAAAATTGAAAATTTGTACTTTAAATAATTAAAAAAGATATTTCAAAACTGACTCAATTTGATGATACATAAATGCAATAAAGTTTCTTTCTTCTTATAAATACTTATAAACATTTAATTGAATTGTTATTATACAAAATTATTTTTGAAGTTTGTGTATTTTATTATTTTAAATGCATCTATTACATAAGTAATTTTTTTTTATATCATATCACTTTAGCAAAGACATTCAGAATTCCATTTGACTGTTTTCTTCCACAGGAACTTGAGTTTGCACTGAAGATTTTTAACTTTTTTTTTACTAGTGTTTTTATTCTGGAAGCTGTAATGAAAATTATAGCACTGGGCTTTTACCGATACATTAGAGACAGGTAAAATGTTTTTAATTGACCAATGAGTATTGATACTTTTGTCTGCTGTTTTAATAGTTTAGTTTTAACAAAATATATATTGACATTAACATTTTAAAGAATAAGATTCTTTCTTTATTAATTACCTTTTAAAAGTTCATTAAAACTTATTTAGTAAAAGAATTTGTTTTAATGTCGCAGTAAATGAAAAACAACCATTATTCCCACTTGTATTGAATTTCAGAAATTGTTCAGTAAAATACTATATGTTGACATCTTCTGATCAGACATTTTTGCTGCAGTATAAATTTAGCTTATAATTCACTGTCGTTCAGATGGAACCAGCTGGACATCATGATAGTCATCTTGTCAATAGTGGGTATTGTGCTGGAAGAGATGAGGACAAATGTAATACCCATCAACCCGACCATCATAAGAGTCATGAGAGTACTTAGGATTGCCAGGGGTAAACATATATATAAGAATATTCAGGATTTCCTTAGGAAATACTGAATATAGAGTAGGGGGAGTTGGGGCACAGGGGATCAGAAATCTTATTTTTATTAATATTCCAAAAGTTTTCGCAGATATTATAATGTTGTATGTGCACAATGATTGTATAGGAATCTTTCAAATTTGGCTAAATATAATATTCTTGCTCACAGAGCGTTTCAAAATGTGCAGGGGTAAGTGACTCACTGTGCCCAGGTACCGGGGCACAGTGAATCCATATGGAAAATAAATCATTATCTTTGGCTTACTTAAAATTGACTTAAATTATAGTGAGGGTTGTGAATTTAAGGCAATTATTGCACTGAATGTTATTTTTCATATGAGAACCTTATATAACCTCAAATATAAACAGTCATACAACATACTTATGTTTTTTAAAGCATAGACTCATAGACACTGAAAAATGCAGGCAAACAATTTTTAAATGAATAATTTATTTATTTGTAACACCAAACAATTTAAATTATAACATTTAAGATGACAAGGAAACAATAATTGCAAAAAATCAACGTAGAGAAAATTGCCTTATGCTGATAAGTCAACATTAAAATTGAAATGGCGAGCGACTTGAGCCGTCCCTCCGTGGAGCAATGGCCTGGGCAATTTAACAATGACTCTTCTTCATTATCATAAATTTGGCAGCATTTATATTTTGGTGAAAACGATGTATGACAATGTATGGTCTAATCCAGTTTGCAGTGGCCTTTTTGTCATATCTGCAGAGATTTGAAAATTTAATGTTGGTGTCGTTGCTAACAGTCCTAATAGATTTGAGTGGAAGTAAATATTTAATTTAAAGTACTACTAGTATTATACTATATTAATTGCTGAAGTTTCTGTTTTTATTCATTTAATATTTTTCTTTAAGTCATATTTCTAAAAACAATTTCTCTTTTTTTTAAAAAAAAAAAAGAACATATAAAATATTTTCCAGCAAAAAGAGTTTATCTAATTGTCGGTAGGTTGAGTTTCTGAAAAATAAAACAAATAGCAAAGAATGATAATAAAGTAAGCATTCTCATAATACTGTAAGGGAAAGGTTCCTGACATAAAGAAATGGGCGGTTACAATTATACATTAAATAGTTGAAATGAGCAACTTTAAAAATGTTAATTGATCTCTGTCTTGTTTAGTGCTTAAGCTTCTGAAAATGGCCAAAGGAATCAGGGCTTTGTTGGACACCGTGATACAGGCGCTGCCACAAGTGGGCAATCTTGGACTTCTCTTTTTCCTGCTCTTCTTTATATTTGCTGCACTGGGTGTGGAACTTTTTGGCAGATTAGGTTCGTTCTCTTTCAATAAAAGTATCTTATCTTAAGAATGTTGTATGGAATAAAAGTGGTCAACAACATGTTCAAACTATCATTGTTGGTGTTGAGTGTTAAAAAAGATTCTTCACAAAGCTTCATCTTCAAGTCTTCTATTAGATATTTTAGATATTTAAAATAACATGAACTAGACAAACTAAAAATGTACAATTAGAGACTCCTGAATAACTTTGGCATTGTTTGGATTACACTTGGACAAGTATAAAAATGCTTCCTGGAAGAATTGATAAAATAACTAACTGTCATTTTAGCTTGTGTACCTTTGAGTCAAACAATTGGGCTTACCCTGGAAACTGGCTGGGCTAAATATATGGGTAGAGGGCTCAGAATTAAAAAAGTTAATAACTGGCTATATAATTTGATGTGCTGCCGAGATCAATCTGGACTCATGCTTGAAACTGATTTCTTTATCAACTTTCACATCTTAATTGGGTTTTGAAGTGTGTCCTGAAATTCTTTTGAAGACAAATATAAACGTTTTTCACTATTCCAGATTGTATTGACCATCCATGTGAGGGTCTTGGAGTGCATGCTCATTTTCGTAACTTTGGGATGGCTTTTCTGACCCTCTTTAGAGTTGCCACAGGGGACAACTGGAATGGTATCATGAAGGTACGGTACAAATGCAAGTGGATAAAATTTTGATAGGAGTCATATAGCTGAAGAAAAGAGTATAAATTAATAGATTGATGGGAATAGAATAAGACTTAGTGTTAAATCTTAATTAAGGGGAGTCCATGAAATAATAATCTTATTTTTTTTTCTTTCTGTAGATGTTCATGGGTTATCTTGGTGTTATATGGAAAGCACAACCCAGATAATTAAATATGTTCTCATCCACAGGATACACTGCGTGAGGACTGTGACAGGGCCGACAACTGCTTGAAGAACTGCTGCGTCAGCCCCCTCATTGCTCCTGTTTACTTTGTGGTCTTTGTCCTGATGGCGCAGTTTGTGCTCGTTAATGTTGTGGTGGCCGTGCTTATGAAACATCTGGAGGTAAAATTTCCTACAGTTTTACATCATTAATGAAAAGGCCAGTGCTGCAGAAATAGACTGGATATATTTATAAATGAAATACCTTGCGCATCACTCAAGTGTTGAACCAAGTACACTTAAAATGATGTCATTGAGATATAAAAAAAATATGCCAGAAGAAACCTTGCTTTTTTAACATTTACAATTACGCTGAATTACAGTAATTATAAAAATAAAATTCATATTTAAAGAACAGTCTTTTTGAGCCTGTGCACTCATAGTATTTATTAGTTTTAAGAGCACAATTCTCAATTTTAGTATGCAGATTTAGTTGCAATTTTTTCTCATCAACATTTGGAACGTTTTCTTAGGAGGTGAATTTAACATTGTAGTTTTTCATTTTATCCACCATTGCCTTTAAAGTTAAATAGTGATGGGATAGGCCTGTGTATCTGCAGTCCAAGAAAGTTTTGATACCAGCCCATTTCTTGTGTTTACTTTTTAAAATCTCAGTCGTTAAATGGTTGTATGGCTGTATGATGAGAACAAGAGAGTTGTGATTGTCAGGAGATTGAAAGAATGACCTCAAGTTGTGTTTAACAAATTAGTACAAAACACCTGTTCAAACTTTGCGGGTACAGAGTGTGACATTGGTATGGCTAGAGAAAATAGCAATTTTTAAACTGATTTTCTTGATCTTAAAAAAATTGAATTTGTCATGAATGTCACAAGTAACTAAAAATTATGTTCAATACTGACAAACAGTTTTCTTATAAAGCTAAGATTTTCAGTGTGGAAAATTTCTCTAAGCTGCATTTATTTAATAATGATGAACGACTTTCTTTTGCCATAAACCAGTGTTTCTCAACCTTTTAAAATGTCCTCAATCATAAATTAAACATTTCCTTCAATAAAAAGTTCTTATTAGATATTTCAATTACGCCAGTGGCAGGACATTTACATAGGTTGAAAGCCACTGATGTCTTACTAATATCACACACTGTGACCAGTCAAATCATTGCACATAGACCATCACTTCATCCATCATAAAAGTATGCTGATCTGCATGTCTCTGCATGAGTTTTGTGCATTGTTTGCGTGCCACCACAGGAAACTTACAAATACAAAGAGTTGGATGATGAGCTAGAGGATGAGTTGAGAGCAGAGATGTGTGCTCTGGCCTTGGCGGGTAAGGCAGGACCAGATGGCATAGAGATCAAGGTGATTAACTCTTCAGATCATTGCTTTAATTTTGTTCAAAACTTTAGTTTAAAATTTTTTTTTTTTAATTCATTCTTTACGTTACAAAATCTTCAGTTTTTATCAGTGTTTACTTATTGGTGTGTTTAACAATTAAAAGTATTCCACATTAATATATACAGAAAGCTTTAGCTGTTTCTTGATCCAAATTTTTATTTTTTAATATTTTTTTTCAGCATTAACATTCATTATTTTCTGTTGAAATAAAGTATGTGTTAAATTAATACAAGCAAAGATGATTGTTTAATAAGCACACAGCTAAACTTTATAGGAAGAAACTATTATGCCATCAACCAGTTCTGCCTTTAGCTAATTGTACCAAAGTAGAAAGGAATGCACATTGTATTTTACCCTTAACAGTAATATCATTTTTAGAACTCATTCTATTGTTTATCCCCACCAATTTAGCATGTTAATTACCAATGTTATGACTAGAGATGCATCATTATTATAACAACACTAGAAAAATAACTCAAGATATCTGTATTGTCATAAAAACTATGTAGATTATAAAGCCTCAAAACTTCCTAACAATATAACAGTGGATAAAATTAAAACGCTATCAGTTTTGGAATAGTCACTTAATAATCTTAATCACTTAGCATAATATAAAATTCCAAGGTGTAACACTAACAAAAAAAAATTAATACTGACAAGAGTTGCATGTTTTCACAGGGTAAAATAACTTAAAAACCCACAGCCTGTCCAATTTTTTTTAATCACATTAATGTTATTTTATTTTCAAACTTTTTTAACTGATAGTTATAAAGTTATAAATATTATACAATTATTTTTTAAATAAATAACACTAACTTTACTATAGAATAAGATATGTTATAACCCAGAAAATATCTTGTAACCTGCTGTTTTGAAATACATGTTGAGTTCATATATTTAAAAAAATAAAAAAATTTTTTTTCAGATGTTGAGGTTAGATCAGTGGTTCCAATATTTAGGATTTGGTTACTAAAATGATGCTTAAAAAAATGTGTAGTTTTATTAAACATTATTCCAAACTAAAGACATAAACATCCAAACACACACTTAAAATATAAATATTAAAAGAAACAATCTGCTTTACCAAGATTTTTAACCTATGAGAGTCTTATTTTCATTTCTATAAGACACAGAATTGGCCAAAAAAAAAAAAAAAAAAAAAAAAAAAAAAATTAAAAAATCAAACTAAAAAAATAAAAATCCAAACACACACTTAAAATATAAATATTAAAAGAAACAATCTGCTTTACCAAGATTTTTAACCTATGAGAGTCTTATTTTCATTTCTATAAGACACAGAATTGGCCAAAAAAAAAAAAAAAAAGCGTTTAAAAAAATTTTAAAAATGTATTTCTGATTTATAATGATATAAAATATTCTTTAATTCCTGCAGGTAGAGTGCACAGGAAAAAAACATTAAATGTTAGACCAATTTTATAAATGATAATGCATTCTTAAAATAGAAAATGATTAATCTCTCCCCTGCTTGATCCTATAATTAAACAGCTGGCTACGTGATTTGTACCTTTTAGTGATGCAAACTTCCCAATAACTTACTCATATCAATTTCCCCCCTGTGATAATTTATGAATCTTATTTACCAACTTCTGTAGAAATTCTTCATTTCTATCATCTATGCATTAGTCATCTTTTATTTCTCACACTTAACAATCTAGAATTTCATTGCTACACTCAGTAGTAACTAGTAATGCAATCTATTTTCTTATGTAATTCATTTTTTAATATTAGTAACCTTCATATTTTAACCCGTCATTATTTTTTATACATTCATAATATGCACAATATATGACTAAAATCTAATGTCATTTTAATAAATTCATTTGGAATTACGTCATGCTATACAGACACTTTAGGATAAATATCAAGTTTGATTACTGTGAAGCTGCCGAGCACCAAGGTCTCATTCCATTAAAGATCAAATTTTTTTCCTCTAAAATATTTTTAATGTACTCGCTTCTGAAACAAGTAATTTAGAGACTTATTTACTTTTTAAAAAAAAAAAAGTGATACAATTTTAATTTGTTCGACTCTTGCCTACTTTTAAACCGTCATAAGTAATTATTGAGGATTTTGTTATGATAATTATTTATTAAAATGTTAAACATTCTAAAAAAAATCCAAATAATTTTCTATAAGTTAAATGATTTTTTTTTAAATGAATTAATAAGATACAGATTTAATCACTCAAGCTTCATTTTGTTAGTTTAAGTATGATTTATAGTCAATGTCACTTTCATTTACCTATAAATTATCCCCAGTGTCAGAATTTTAAAAAAACCTACTACTTTAAGAACAGTGCTGTATCATTATAGATCGGTAAAGCTGGCCCCTGCCTATAGGGTCTAATCAGTTTTTTTTAAAACTTTCATCCCTGGTTGTGGGTATAACATTTTTTTATATTGTCATTGTTTAGAAGTTATAATTTGGATTCAGATATCAATAATTAAATCGGGGATTAGACATTTAAGACCTTGAGATAACAAATAACTTTTTGTTTGTTTGGTTTATAGTATAGATAAAACCGCAGTTCACTTAAATGGCATTTTATTTTATAGATGATATCGATAGTTGTGTGACCACTGATCTAAACAACATCTGAAAATTCTTCTATTTTACAAAAGGGGCAAGCTTATCCTTCTCAGAATGAAAGATTGTTATCCCATGTCTGCAGAGTCAAACAAAGAAATGACAACTCTTGGTTTGAGAACCAAATGTAAATTTTAAAAATATATTTATGTCAAGTTGTTTCCTTTTGCAGAAATAGATTTTTTTACTGATACATCTGATTTTTTTTTTTCAGTTAATTTTCTTGGTATTTTATTTGAACACATTTGTTCTAGTAGACATATCCCAACAGTTCATAAAAAATCTGCCCATGTTAAAACAGGGTAAGAAAGAATTTTTGTTGGAGATTGAAATTCAAAATTTTTTTTATAAAAGTTGGAAAGGCAGATGGTACTTGGACATGTAAACACTATGGATTTTTAGATTTCATAAAGAGAAAACTAAAATATTTTATGAAATTTTTTCAGTGGGAGTTGGATTCTGCAATACTTGTTATTACATTAGCAAAAATTATTTTGACTCTGCAGTGATGGATTATATCAAAATATGCTGGTTATGAACATTTTCACTTAGTTAAGTCCAATTTCTGTCATTCTGTTTAGTTAATTCAATTGTTTTTGTTGGTGTAATCTCAGAAAAGGCAACTGTGGTTTGTCTAACAATAGCAACCTTGGTGTCACTTTCAAAATTGTATAAGTTTTAAAAGGCTCCTAACAAGCACTTTCGTTGATGGGTAGTCAAATGAAGTCATTTTCATGACTTAAGAAGTTACGCAATAAATTGAACAACCCGTATAAACAAATTTTATCATATAAATAATTTACAAAATGGAATATCAAGCAATTGGGGGTGGAGCTGAAAATTTTACAAAACGTTCATACAAGTGACATACTTTATGAGAATCCCAATTAGTGCCCGTGAGATCAAGTTCATACAAGTGACATACTTTATAAGAATCCCAATTAGTGCCCGGCGAGATCAAGTGAAAAAAAATTGTTTATACATTCTAGTCCCATAATAACACAATGTCATTAGGCCTACATTTTAAGAAGAGTTTAAGTTTGTGCTAGTTATTAAAATTCAAAATGAATAGAGTGTTACTGTACCTTTCACTTTTTTGGAAGGAATTTAACAATCCCAAATTTTAAATTCTAGGATAACATTTCATTATGTTTAGATGAAATTATTTTATTCTCCTTTAAAATTAAATAAAAAAATTAATGTCCACAATTTAACAAGCTCTAAAATCAAGCAAACAAGAAATAACGCTACAGTTGATTCGTGGTCTGGGTTTCATAAAAGTTTATTCAGGCTGTATGCTAAATAGAGCTGCTAAGGCAAGAATATGGTGGTGTATCCTTTGGTCATGTTAAGTTAATCAAGTTTATTAAGAAAAAATGCTTACACTTCATTTTCATGGTTGTCTTGTAATGTAGATGTACTTAAATTCATGTAATTCATAAATGGTTTTCACATTTGTACAAGGTAAACATTAATTATAAGTTCACATTCTTGCAACACTGTTCTAGGAATCACATCGGATGATGGATGATGACTCAATACTCTTAAGAGATGCTTTGATTACCATTACTAAGGCAAATGATGATCCAGAAGTGAGTGATTTTCATTTAACCACTGTCTTTAAGAAAATTCCTTTTCATTTTAGCTGGACACAGCATGCTTTTCATTTCCAATGTTTTGAAATGCTTTCTGCACTATTGGAATCATGAAGAAAAAAACCCAACAGCATCAGCTCCAGATTAGTTCTTATGTAAAAACCAAAAACCAGCCAAACAGAGTTGATGATTAACTTGTCATTGAAGCCTATATAATAAATAGTCTCTAACTACATGCAGAAATTCAGGGTAAAACCCCATAACTGATTGAAGTGCTTAGTTTGAACATTCGGTTAGGCCACAGTTGGATCCCTGTCACCTACATTGTATGTATGTGTTACCATTAGGCATTATCTTGTAACAGCAACTTCAAGTTTAGGAAAGTATACTTGGGTCAGTATACTGTTGTCAGTGTACCTGGGTCATTGTACTTGAGTTAGTATACTTGGGTCAGTCTGCATGGGTTAATCTACTTGGTTCACTCTACCTGGGTCAGTATACTTGGTTCAGTCTACCTGGGTCAGTATACTTGGTTCAGTCTACCTGGGTCAGTATACTTGGGTCAGTGTACTTGGGTCAGTAGACTTGGTTCAGTCTACCTGGGTCAGTATACTTGGGTCAGCGTACTTGGGCCAGTATACTTGGATCAGTATACTTGGGTCAGTGTACTTGGGCTAGTATACTGAGTCAGTCTACTTGGGCCAGTATCCTTGGGTCAGTCTACTTGGGTCAGTCTCCTTCTCTAAAAAGGAAATATCATGTTGTTATCACCTTGACTTCATTAGGTTAACACTTTGCTGTACTAATAGCTCTGCTGGGGGGCACATACAGCTAGTAACTTGGCTGAGGGGCACATACAGCTAGTAACTTTGCTGAGGGGCACAGACAGCTAGTAACTTTACAGAAGGGCTCATACAGCTAGTAACTTGGCCGATGGGCACAGACAGCTAGTAACTTTACAGAAGGGCTCATACAGCTAGTCACTTGGCTGAGGGGCACAGACAGCTAGTAACTTTACAGAAGGGCACATACAGCTAGTAACTTGGCTGAGGGGCACATACAGCTAGTAACTTTACAGAAGGGCACATACAGCTAGTAACTTGGCTGAGGGGCAGATTTGCTAGTAACTTTACTGAGGGTCAGATTACATGTATAAGTTAAGCTTTCCTTGAACTAAAATACCCTATGTGACATAGGACCCAATTGCAGCATTCTTCATTGGAATAAATCTGGTGCCTAAATCTCAAAGAGAAAATGTAGGCTACCCACGTCGTAACTAGTGTAAAAGGAAGATGTGGGATTTCTAAGAGCTAAAAATAGGCTACCACAGAGGTAACTAGCATGATAGTTTCGAACCAGGATAATGGTGCTCTAAGAGGTAGTATAGTGTAACCCAAGGTGGTAAATAGCAAATTGTTTTTGTTTTTTTTGACAGCCCTAAGAGAAGGCGGTAGGCTACCATAGTGGTAACTACCATGATGGTGCTCTAAGAGCTGTTGAGAGTAGGAGTATTTAGTACACAACCATAGTGGTAACTACCATGATGGTACTCTGAGAGCTGTTAAGAGCAGGAGTATTTAGTACACAACCATAGTGGTAACTACCATGATGGTGCTCTGAGAGCTGTTGAGAGTAGGAGTATTTAGTACACAACCACAGTGGTAACTACCATGATGGTGCTCTGAGAGCTGTTAAGAGCAGGAGTATTTAGTACGCAATGTTGTTTGTCCATTCCATCCAAATCAACAGGGACCATCTGGTCATCCTGTTAGGGTTGGGTCACGGTGAGTGCCTAGGTGGCTTGCTAATCCGATCCGTTCTCGGAATAGTCTCTGGCACCGCGGGCAGGGGATAGTTGCTGTAGTCGGTGGTCTAAGGTTGCTTTTGTTTTTCGGGCTAGCCTGCGTGTCTCAGCTGTCGCTATCCTTCTGGCTTCATGAGATTTAGCCCCACTCTTGACAGCTGATGGCTCTGTCCTGGGCTGTCTGCACCCATTCAATAGGATTGATGCTAAAGGCCTTTAGTGCTGCTGTCAATGTGTCTTTCAGTATCGCTTTCTTTGACCTTCTTGGGAGCGCTTGCCCAGCGTGAGAATAGCTGTTTAGGGAGCCGGTTGTCTTCCAACGGAGTTGAAACTGCCAACGGAGTTGAGACTGCATCAAGGTGGTGAAGATGCTAGGTAGTTTCGCTCTAGCAAGGACCTCCGTGTCAAGCACTTTGTTTTGCCATCTGATGCCGCGGAGTTTCCTGAGGCAGGTTTTGTGAAAGTGGTTTAGTTTCTTGGCGTGACGCTGGTAGAATTTCCCAGTTATACATCCGTAGACCAATGTCGAGAGGAGTGCTGCGCTACAGACCTTGATCTTCGTTTCTCGTCTGATACCTCTCCTGTCCCAAACAGTGCTGCGGAGTCTGCCAAATGTTGGACTTGCTTTTGCAAGTCTAGCATTTATTTCATCATCCATGACAACAAATCTGGAGAGGGTGCTGCGCAATATGTAAATTTGTCTACCGCATTTAGATGCTGTCCGCTGATGGTGATGCTGGGTTCAACGTAGGGCTTACTGGAAGCTGGCTGATACATCACTTCACTCTTCTTTGTGTTGATTGTGAGGCCAAAGTTATTGCAGGCCTCAGAGAAGATATCAACGCTGTGTTGCATGTCGGATTCTGAGGCAGCATTGAGGGCACAATTGTCCGCAAACAGAAGCTCGATGATGGTGTTATGTTTCACCTTGGTTTTGGCTTGAAGCCTCCTTAGGTTGAAGACTGATCCATCGGTGCGGAAACGGATTGGCAAGTCCGTGGTGGAGTCCTTGAACGCACCAGAAAGCATTGCAGAGTACATAATACTGAAGAGTATGGGAGCCAGGACACAACCCTGCTTCCCACCGTTTGTGACAGAGAATGCTTGAAATGACTGACCATTTTCCTGCGCTCGGGCCATCATGCAGCTGACGGATGATGTTGGCGAACTTGTCTGGACATTCATACTTCTTAATGATTTTCCACTGGCTCCCTCTATTGGCCCTGTCAAAAGCCTTATTCATGTCGATAAATGTGTTGTACGCAATTTAGTACGCAACCACAGTGGTAAATATCATTAATGTCACGGTGAATGACTCTGGTCATTATGGAATGGGGATAATCAAATAAACTTCAGCAAAGCTCTTAAAATCTGTACTTTTCTCCATAACATAACCATTTTACCCCCTTAAATGACTTGATATCTTTCTCCTCTGTCTTTGATCCTAGTGGTGCATAGGGCATTAACACATGCTTCTCAATAATCTTTGTTATAATTTATTCTTACCAGGTCATTCCACTCACTCCCTCTGTCAAGATTACTTCTCTGTTTGTTCCATGGTCTCTCTCTCTCTCTCTCTCTCTATGTATCTGTCTGTGGGATCCATGACAGAGACTTGAGTCATATTTGATTTGATAAATTCACATTAAACAAAAGTGTATAAGCTGATAATAGTAAGTAAATACTGAGTGGGGTAAACATAATTGCAAATTCTAAATGGATTCCTCAGAGCAAGGAAAGTGGTGTTGAAGATGATAATCCAGGAGGACTCCAAGTTAGTACCTTGCCAAGCTTTACTTTCTCAGTCAGACCTCCCAGTGAGGAGCAGTCCAGATCAGAGGATGCCACAGGTCGATTTCTTTTACAACTAAGTCACTAAAATTGCTAAAACTTTGCAGCTGAAATAATTAAAGTATTAAACCATCTGAAAAAAAAAGTAAAACATGTTTAACACTGAACAAAAATTCAAGGGATAAATGAAGCTATAGTTTCTTTTCCCAAATAATTATGATAATTTAAATCTGATAAAATAATAAAGTACTTTTACATGTTTTTTTTAATTTATCTAAAAAAACTTTGTAGGCGTTCATTTACATTAGTTAAGTCGGACCAATAAATGAAATTGGAAGGGTCGGGAATGTCATTTCATTTATTGTAAAGGAAATCAATTGTCAAATATTTGATTCCTGTATGTTTGCTTCATTTGTTTGATTAGGTATGTCTCCTGTGAATGCATCATTGACACTAGAAAACATGGGGTCCTCTTGGTCTTCAATGGATAGCAATCGCCTTGCTGTTACACCTAGCATGACGGGCAGTTCTCCCTCTTCAGAGCGCAGTGTGCGCATTTCTTCTCCTCCAATCAGGCGAGCCCACAGCCCTTACCTTCTTAACCTGCAGGGTTCGAGCGGGTCAATTCATCGCAGACCACTTGTGAAACAATACAGCATGGACGTCGGGTCTGACCCTCAGTTAAATAATATGAACACCAGCATGCCTGATGTTTGGGATAAATTTAAAGAAGCGCACAAATCCGTATGCAAAACTGACAATGGCATCTCAAGGTCCCAACCGTCACTGAAGGATTTGAAAAGTGGATCTTTGGATGGAAAGACAGAAGGCTCACTGGACTCTAAAGATGGCGCGCTTCCCGGTGAACATCTGGCAGCCAGGGACAGGATAAAGCATAAACTTCTTAGAAGCAGAAGTAGTGGCGCAAAATACAGCAGATTTAGAGACAAGTACAAACAAAGCAATCTCAATAAAGCAGTGCACCTCAATAACTCCGAGACAAATGTGTCAAAAGAGAGGATGAAGAGGTCCAACCAAACTGGTAGCAATGAGACGGGATCAGACATTGATGAGTCTCTTTGCAGTGATTGGGGCAGTGAGGAAGCGGCCTGTGACCTGGAGGTCAAAATGATAACAGGTGGGACGGAAGATGAAGAAGACGACATCCACCCGACACTGTCGCCTTATATTTGTGAAGACGGAGACGGTGGACATTTAGCAGCTTGTAGGACGGCAGTGGATTCAGCAGGCTCCAGCGGCTTGTCAACTCCGAGGGGGGAAAGCACGCCAAGGGCAATGAAACCATCCTACCCCAAATGTAAAAGTCCCATGCCTCCTCCCCTTCAGAGCTCAAGAAACAATCCCGGTATAGACAATACCAGTTTTGAACTCGGTGAAGATGTTCGCCTGCCGCCATGTTGCAAGGCGAGAGAAACGGCAGCCGTGAGACGAAGCAACTCTTTCAGTTCTTCTAAACTGATTCCAAAAGCATTCAGCCCGCCAAGGACGATATCCCCCCGGTCTGACAGATCCCTCAGCCCTTATACTTTCAGGGAGCACACGACATCAGTGTCTCCACTGGCACTTCCACCTTCTCCTCTAGCATTAGAAGACAGTGCCTATAAGTTAAGATGCTCTGATGGGGGGATGAGAGAGATGGCGGTCAGTCCCTTACCATTTTCACATTCTCACATGCTCACTGTCCCGTCTCCTCATTCACTTTACTCCAACCCACACATGCGCTCTCCTTCTCCAACCCCACCTAAACATGTTCATCTTGTTCCCCCATCCTCGGACTGTCCCTTCAGCAGCAGACGGCAACCAAAAGGTTCCCCCGCTCCAATACGCAGGCAACAGACGCTCTCACGCTCCTCTGCATTTGATCAAGATAATTCTCCTGCAGTAAATTCTCCACTGCGTCACCGCATTCCTCATACACTTTCCATGGACAGCGCCTTCTTGATACCACCCGGGATATCACAGTCCTACTCTATAAATGAGCCTTACATGGAGCTCCACGCAGGCTGCAGGGCAAGTTCTCCACTGCCGTCCCCTAGGAACTCACAACAGACTCTACCAGGCATGTTTACAAGATCAGCATCTCCACAAGCCCACCACATTCAGTCTCCATCTCACCAACCCCAACAGCCTTCCCAGTTGTGCCATCATTACCAGTCCCCATTATCTGACACTGTTCCCTCTATCTCTGCCACAGTCTCCATTGTCCAGACCTCACCTGAGGCTGCCTCAACTTGCCTATCGATACCTGTCCCAGCACCGAATGCCAAAGATGTCACTGCTTTAACTGGAGAAGAGCTTGAGCCACTCGCTTGTTCCAGCCCGATTCAAGACAGCGATGGTAAGGAACTGCTTCCCCTAACAGACGATAACACTAATCAGGACAGCAACAGTCGAGCTCAGCCCCCTGCAGATCCAGATGACAAGTTATGAGGATTCTTTTTGACTTAGTTAACACATTTGTTTAGTTGTCTCATGTTGGGCTTCAATCTTGACATATGCAGATTTGATCTATAGTATTTATTGTTATTTAGGATGTTTTCATTGTACCTTTTTTACAATTTTTCGGTAGTTAATAAAAAAAAAAAAAAGAAATTTATGTACATAATTATGTGAAACATTATACCTAGACAATTATCAGCAATTAACCAGAATTTGCAAGGAATAAATAATACATTTAGTTTTCAGAATAATATAATTTCCTTTTCCCTGTTGGCACGGGAACTTGAACTGTAGAATATAGTAACCACCAATCGGTGTGAGACATCAAGTGCAGACTGTTGTTTTCATCTTCAAGTTGTGATCCCATTCTTTTTATAGTTACATCACAGATTTTAATTTTTAAAAATAGGAGAAATTAAAAACTAGCAACCATAATGATATTATCTTTCAACAAAATTTCTGTTTAAGATCGTTAAATACAACAGTTCATTTTTGGGGGGTCAGATTCTATGAAAACATAAATTTGTGCAACTTCATCAAGCAAAACCATGGAGTGAATTTAGAAAATAAAAGTGTTCATTGTTAATTTGTATCCTGCCATTAAGTACATGATCACATATTGATTCAAATGTGCGATGTCATTCTTTGTATTTATGGATTTGTTATTGCTGCATGATTCTTTTTTTTTTTACATTTTTTTTTTTACCAAATGAAAATTGTTTCATTCCTTTTTTTTTAAAAATTTCTTGAAAATAATTGAAATGCTATTTTTATGATGCATATATTTGTTGTTACAATAATAAATGAGTTCATATCACAATGACTTTGTATCCTAACAGCTATGACATTAACAATGAATTTGTATTGTTAAACTGGGAAGACTTGTGAAACTAAATATTTTCAGATTTACTTTCATCCTCTTAGCCTACCCATTATAATATTTTTTGTGTCCACTGTACATTGATGTTCCCCATCTTATAGTTTTAGAACTTAGTCATAATATTATAGTAAAGCATGCCATTAAAAAAAAAAAAAAATGGAAATTTTTAGTCACATTCAGAATATGCATTGTTTCTCAACTATAGATTTACACGTAAAACTCAGCTCTCTTGTTATAAAACATTGCTCTATTATAGATAAGTAATTTATTTTAGTAAAGTTCAAGACGTTTTAGGGTTACAATCCTGGTGTACAATTCTATCATTCTCTATTTTTTTTATTAATTTACCAAGTTTTAGAATTATTTTACACAGGAATAACTTGAGGTTCAAACTAGAATGTGTTCTGTTGTCTCATATTATTTATGTCTTGGTAAAAATTAGTAAAATTAGATTATCTCTCATTTGTTCATGTGCAATATAATTTAAATGATATCATATTTTTAATGTGCAATATGGTTGTTTCCTGTACAGTTTATTACTGTTACTCTGAGTGCAGTTGATAACTGTTACTCTGAGTGCGGTTGATTACTGTTACTCTGAGTGCCGCTGATTACTGTTACTCTAAGTGCGGTTGATTACTGTAACTCTGAATGCGGTTGATTACTGTTATTCTGAATGCGGTTGATTACTGTTACTCTGAGTGCGGTTGATTACTGCTACTCTGAGAGCAATTTTCTTTGTATACAATGGGTATTCAGCTAATAAATAAAGTTTTACATTACATGTGGGTCATTGGTTGTTATTGTTAATTTTTTTACAATAGTTGTCAGGGGGGGGGGGGCATTAGGGGTTTTTAATTAATGATAATGATGTTGCTCTGGGTCTTATTTGATGCTATTGTAAAGACAAAACTTTGAAGTCCTTTCATCTTTGTGGTTAAGTGCCAGAGTGAAGTAATTAGAACCTGAACAGGTATTAATGGCTCTTACTACAGTTTCAAGTATTGCGTTAGATATCATGTATAGTACAATTTCTAGAAAAAATTGCAGTCCAGTCATTTCGATAGATGATTATTTTGTTGTTAATCTAACCAATTATTGTAAATTTTCTCAAGAGTTGACATTTACTCTACATTATTGTTTGAAAATTGTATAATCTATCACATTTGTGCATAGCGTACATTGATCATAAAAAAAACATTATTTTGATAAATCAAGTAAGTTAATTTTAATGGCACTTTTGCCATTGTGGCACTTACTTTTCACTGTTGATGTTATGACATGTTTCACACCCTCCCCAACATAATGTCACACCTGTAATATTGAATCTTTTATTCTGTGACTGGTCATTTCAGTTTGTGATCGATGCCAGTCTATACTATTTCATATTATAGTCTAACCTTTCCCAATCTCATTTGCTCATTCACAGATTTTCAGTTGATAATGTTGTAGCCCTCTCGCCCTTCTCATAGGATTAAAATTTTCAGATATGATTGAGATCACAAGAAAGTTCATAAAAAAATAACTTCATAAAAGCCAGGTTTGAGGATGATGATAAGATCATAAAAGTCAGGTTTGTTGATAAGTTCATAAAAGCCAGGTTTGTTGATGAATAATTCATAAAAGCCAGGGTGGGTGATGAAATGAAAGCAAATTTGATTTTAAAAGATAAATTTACAAATAAATTAAATTCCCTAAGAAATAGGAGTGTTCCCATTTTCACGCCCCTTGGCTGTTGTGTTTGTGTATATTGTCTAGCCAGTGCCAACCTATCTGCCTTCAAACAACAACAAACCCGCTTATGCACTCTGACCTTTCATATTATGTTTTCTTCCTTTTCACTTAATTGTTTTTCATGGCATGCTTTGTTTCTTGCAGTTAAACAACAAGAATTTCCTTCCTTTAATTGATGAATGATGTATAATAAAATGTTGTGTTTTTTTTTTAATGGAGCTCTTCAAAATTGATTGATGGTTACTTTTGTTTCCTAAGCCTCGAATACATGACTATGTTAATGTTAAAAGAGGCGGAAAGGGGCAAGTCCTCTTTATTTTCTGTATTAAATCATGTACGATTAGAGATAAAAAAAAATTTATAGAAACAGTTGTTTTTTTAAATTTCTCAACACAAGACTCGGAAATTATACCCAAAGACCTGTTGCTAAATCAACATTTACACATGGCTTGAATTTAAACAGACCTAATACAAAAGATAGAAAAGTACAGACCCATTAAATAGAATAATAGATGCAGGGGGGGAAAAACATAGCCTCCTACCCAGAGGATATAATCCAAATACACACAGATGGGTCAGCTTTCAATGGAGCCCTCCGTGTAGGCTGTGGAGTACAAATAGATTACCCAGACCGACCGTGTGGCGAACCCTACAACTCCTTTGGGGGTGTTCTGCAGTAATTGTGAAACAGAAGTGACTGCTATTGGAGCTTCCTACAAGTTATCTTAAAATTTCAGTTTATCCCAGCCATCAAAGAAATGTTGTTATCTTCTCCAACGTTAAATCAATACTCCAGGCAGCTGAGTATCAAGATCTCACAACTACAGTAAAGTCACTACTTATGAAAGTAACCACTGCTCTTGAAACCCATGCAGTCAAGCTAACCTTACAATGGATACCAGGACACTACAATATATCAGGAAATGAAAGAGCAGACAAATGAGCAAAACAAGGAACATCCAGTGAACAGCCAAACATACCTACATCACTCAAAACTGTGAAGCAGATTATCAGAGTTAACATATAGGAAAAGTGGTTAAATGGATGGACTATAGGCTCAACAGGAATATGTGTTTTCACACATAGATACTGTCCTAACCCAAAAGATCCAATAAATTGCCTCTAAAGATACCAACAGGTCATGATCTTTGGCCTGTGCACAGGTCACACAGAGCGAAATTCCTACCTAAACCGAATAAAACCAGGTAAAATACCGATTGCCCCCCCCCCCCTTTTTTCTGCAGGCATCTAAATGATGCAGTAACACGTCACCTCTTCCACTGACCAGCACTCGATGACAAGACTACACCAACACCATATATACAAACAAAGAACAACTGCCGATAGAGCCCAAATGACTACTGTATCTGAATGAGAATTTTTTTTTTAAATATTTGAATAGTGACTTAACTCCTTTTGAATAAAAATACTTTGCCACTAATGTGTTAGTATGTTAGGATCATAAAGAAAAGATAGTTTAATATGTCTGCTATGTAAGAACCTTTTGGAAAAAAATCCTCATCCATATTGAACGATTGCTGTTCGTGTAGATATCATGTGATGATTCAGACCATGTGATAATCTCTATTACTATAAATCTAAAAATCAACATTTGTGGAAACCATCCTCTTTACCATAGGTTTTTTTGTTTTCATTAACACAAAATATTCATTTTTCAAAGCTGTGTATTCATATCCTCATACCTTCCCCCTCCGCCCCCCCCCCCTCCATTTATTCTTTGTGGCTGATCAAACTAAGTCACACAGAACTTGTAGACGCACAAAGTGATTTGATCTATTTCTATAAATGTAAAGGCGATGAATAACTTTGTGGTGTGTAATGATCTATGTTTACGTTAAAATAAATAAAATAACTCAAACTGATTGTGTTAAACTATAGAGTATGAGCCTTTTTATATCTATTGTACCATCACTCTACAGTGTTGTTATCAGCAATCTACTAACCGAAGCTTGTCTTAAATTACTGATAGAGAACACATGACTACATCCACCGCTACCCGAGGAGCTCTTGACTCTTACGAAAGTAACGATGAAAATATTTATTTTTATTATTTTATTTTTGATCTATAGACAAAAGGAAAATTTATACTGTGGAATTTTGTTTTATCAACTTTAAACTGCTCCCCACCAATGTTCCCTTTAAGCTATCTCACAGACGCCGCGCAGCAGTTTTGAGTCCCGCGCAGCAAATTTCCATATAAGTGTGTGTTTGTGGGCTGTACAATTTTGCACACAAAAAAATTGATGCTGCAAAACTTTGCACACAACTGTATGATTTTGCACACGATCCAACAAACCTTGGAGGGAACATTGCTCCCCCCCCCCCGCCCCCCCACCCCCCCCCCCCACCCAAAAAAAATAAAAAATTCTAAAAAATTACTATTTATTGTGGCATGCGTGGTGAAGGAAAAAATGCGTGTTATGTTACTGGTTGTCAAAACGACCTTTACAGTTGGAATGGATTAGTGTAAACAAAAATACAATTTGAAACATGAGCATCACCCGTGTCTATACAATGAAGTTTTTAACTACAACTAACTTTGAGATGTTACAAATGACACCCCAAACCTTCTACTCGGTATTTTTTAAACTATTCTAAGAGTTTTAATTTGTTGTTTAATTTAAGAAAAAAATATCAGATTAACATGTTTACATCTTTCAATTAAGCTGATGAAAAATAATTTTTTTAACTAGTTTGAACCTTGACCAGTTGAATGTTTTGCTAAGACATATTACCTGTGGTCCGAGTTGGTCAGTGGGCGAATTCCTGCCGTAGTGCCATTTAGAGGCGGCGCATCGTTGGCTTTTTTTAGTTTTACTAATTAATTTAAACATTCTGAAATTGTTAATCACATTTGACATAGACATTGACACGGTCAACTGACATACTCAAACATACAAACTTAAAAATAAAAACTTAAAAGTAAGAGTGCAGGGAAAATTAATTCAATTTAGACCTAGGCCCTTACACGAGAATCTTATGACTTGTACCTGTTTGAAATGCCCCCCCCCCTCCCCCCCCCCTTTTTTTCTATGTAAACTCAAATTAATTAACGTTCATAACCATGAAGTAATTTTTTTTTTATACACGAGACTCTTATGACTTGTACCTGTTTGAAACGCCCCCCCCCCTCCCCCCCCCTTTTTTTCTATGTAAACTCAAATTAATTAACGTTCATAACCATGAAGTAATTTTTTTTTTACTGCCTTCTGCAACTCTTGCCAATTACTTCAACAATTTTTCTTTTGTGTTTGAAATTTATTGGCATTAAAATTTTGACATCAAAGACATATCATTGTTGTCATTCGGGTATTAAAAAATAAAGAAAAAAAAACAACATTATTAGCATCCTGTCAAAACGTGAACACAAATGTTACATGAAAAAATGTGTTTAAAATTATATACAATTATATTTCTAGTGTTAAATGTTATAAAATACCCCCCAAAAATATGAACTGGTTTTTAAAGGGTTTAATGATTTTTAGAAATTTGACATTTTAAGATAACCTTTTTAGTATGGGTTTTGTCGGTGTAACATTGTAGATCTAGTCTGGTGTCAATTTCAACGTCAATCTCATTATGTTGTCTAGAAAAGTCACACTAGAGAGCCGTAAATAGCCGTCCAGGAAATCTCCCATGGTTCCTTTAAAGATAAGCTGTAGGTGTTGTCATGCAGAGGACACACACTTATACGGCTCTGATTCAATAAAACACTTTTATTGAAAACACTCAAGTGTTTCAGATGGAAATCATTTAAATCAGTGTCCATGTTCTATTGATACCACTGTTAGTTTAAATGTTCTCTCCTGGCATCTTGTAATTTTAAATTTTGACCCCACCTCAAAACCACTATTTATTTAAAGTTTTCTTTGATCACTGACTGCTACCGAGCATAATCTGCGGAGACCCCTCGTGTGGTTGAAGCTCTGATGTGGTCGAGAGCTCTGATGTGGTTTAGAGCCCTGATGTGGTTGAGCGCCATGGTGTCGTTGAGAGCCCTGGTGTGGTGAGAGACATGGTGTCGTTGAGAGCCCTGGTGTGGTTTAGAGCCCTGGTGTGGTTGAGAGCCCTGGTGTGGTTGAGAGCTCTGATGTGGTTGAGAGTCAATGGTGTGGTTGAGAGCCCTGGTGTGGTTGAGGAGCCTGGTGTGGTTGAGTACTCTGGTTTGTTTGGGAGCCCTTGTGTGGTTGAAAGCCATGGTGTGGTTGGGGGCGCTGGTATGGTTTAGAGCCCTGGTGTGGTTAAGAGCCCTGGTGTGGTTGAAAGTCATGGTGTGGTTGAGAGCCCTGGTGTGGTTTAGACCCCTGGTGTGGTTGAGAGTCATGGTATGGTTGAGGGCGCTGGTGTGGTTGAGTCATGGTGTGGTTGAGAGCGCTGATGTGGTTGAGAGTCAATGGTGTGGTTGAGAGCCCTGGTGTGGTTGAGGAGCCTGGTGTGGTTGAGTACCATGGTTTGTTTGGGAGCCCTGGTCTGGTTGAAAGTCATGGTGTGGTTGGGGGCGCTGGTGCGGTTGAGAGCCCTGGTGTGGTTGGGAGCAGTGGTATGGATGAGGGCCATGGTCTAGTTGTGGGAGCAAGGGTGTGGTTGAGAGCCCTGATGAGGTTGGGATCCCTTGTGTGGATGAGGTACATGGTCAGTTTGGGAGCAATGGTGTGGTTGATAATCATGCTGTGGATGAGGGCACTGGTGTGGTGGGGCGCTATGGTGAGGATGAGGGTCATGGTCTGGTGTGATTGAGAGCCCCGGTTAAGGTGATCGTCTATGTTCATATGATAGCACCTCTTTTCCTTTTATATATCTCAATGCCTTTCCTGTAGGAGTGCTCTTCCCACACCTTGATAACACCATGTGATCAACACCACTGTATTTTTTGTTGTATAACAACAATTCCCCATCTTTCCCATTGAAATATGTTTTTTATTTCTTTAATTCATTCTTAACATTTTGAAAAATATTCCTTGTATTACAAGTTTGGAGATATTTTTTTTTAAAATTTGGCTACTAAATACCTTTTGTGATTTAACAATAAGCCATAGCGAGTATTCAAATTCTGAGCAAAGACTGCATACTACCGTATCACAAATGTTTCGCTGTCTTTCATATGCGATGTTATGCTTTAATCTACTCTTAGAACTCATGGTCATATTTAAAATCATGCAAACACATTTTCCTCCCTCCCCCCTCCTTCTCCCATTCTGCCCTCACCTGAAAATCGTTGCACTATCGTACTAATTTTTAACGTAATAAACTTGTCAACATATATTAAATGTGAAAACAAAGTGGACACAGGTCAGGCTACAACGGTTGTGAATGACTAACACTATCTTTTTTTGACTATAAAATGATTTTTTTGCTTGCTCTAACCCCCCTTAAAACACGTGTTTGAGAGTTTAACTTTTTGTTTATTTTCAGTTGCGAATGCTTGTAAGTTCAATACATTACACATGACCTATTTGTTCTTGAATTCATCTGTGGATTTATTCTGTAGTAATGTCAGTGTGCTCACAGAACTCACCGTCAATTCATTTGTCTGCACGAATCTGATCAGGGAGTCTTTTTTTTTATATATATAATTATCGAAACGAATTTTGTGAATAAATGCTAATTAAAAAAAATGTGTATTCAAGAGCCACTTTCTCTGTTTCTGTTTGAAGTTGTTGTCTTCTTGTCGTAATGTAGGAGTGTACGTAATAAAATGGCTTTTTTTTTTTTTCAATAATTGAACTGTGTTGTTTAAGGTGTAGTTAGTGTTAGGGTTAGGGTTAGGGTTAGGGTTAGGGTTAGGGTTAGGGTTAGGGTTAGGGTTAGGGTTAGGGTTAAATGCTAATTAAAAAAAATGTGTATTCAAGAGCCACTTTCTCTGTTTCTGTTTGAAGTTGTTGTCTTCTTGTCGTAATGTAGGAGTGTACGTAATAAAATGGCTTTTTTTTTTTTCAATAATTGAACTGTGTTGTTTAAGGTGTAGTTAGTGTTGAGCCAGTGGTGTAGCCAGTGGTGTAGCCAGTGGTGTAGCCAGTGGTGTAGCCAGTGGTGCAGCTAGTGTTGAGCCAGTAGTGTAGCTAGTGGGGAGCCAGAGGTGTAGTTAGTGTTGAGCCAATGGTGTGGCAAGGGTGGAGCCAGTGGTGTATCTAGGATGGAGCCAGAGGTGTAGTTAGTGTTGAGCCAGTGTTGTAGCAAGGGTGGAGCCAGTGGTGTATCTAGGGTGGAGCCAGTGGTGTAGCTAGTGTGGAGCAAATGGTGTAGCTAGTGTGAGTGGCGCCCAGGGCGGGCTAAGCCTTTGCTGCCCCCTTCCATGAAAAGAAATTCCCACTCTAATGTGTCTACAATGGGTAAAAATTGCCGCCTCTCAATAAAAGGAGCACCCCTTCCTACGCCCCTGTGTGGAACATACGTATTTAAAGTCATCGCTAGCTTTGTATGGAAAAGGTAAAAGGTACATTTTGAAAGACCTAAATAACAGCCCCTATCTTTTAGTGGGGGTTCATGGGGAGGGGGGCGGGGCGGGGGGTCCTTGCCCACCTTTATAGAATAGGCTTGAGGATTGTGGACATCAATCTATGCATATTTATTTTACCTTAAAAACAGTTAATGTGATATTTTTTCGCATGGCTCCTACATGCCCCTGTTAACCTATGCTCGTCTCCTGGAGCCACTTAGTAAGTGTGCCCTACAGAGAGGGCTCTGCTTGCCCTTCAGTGGCACGCACGTGGGCCGCAGGTTCCGCATGATGTTAACCTACCCACATATCAGTACCGGGTTACTGTTGACATTGCCACACTGCTCCCCTTTCAGGGTTTCTTTCAGCTAGATCTCGGGGGGGGGGGGCTGCCCCGGGAAAAGCCAAGTGCCCCTGAGCAAAAATAATTCCAACAATAAATCAACTGGCACTGCTGGCACTGCCCTCCCGAAAAATCTGAAGTGCCCCCCCCCCCGGGGGAAAATTTCTGAAATAATCACTTTCCCCTTTGGGAAAAACACAAAATATTACTTATCAAATCTAAATCTACTTAGGAGTCATCCATTAATTACGTAAACAATTTTTACGCAATTTTGCCCCCCCCCCCTCCCATTGCCAAAAACTCGCAAACTTTCAGTGAACCCCCTATTTAATTATGTCAACATTTTATAACCCCCTCCCCACCAGAAAAAGGAATTATAACACAGATAAATAAATAAATACATTTGACTTTGTGTCGATAGATTTTAATGACACAAATTGAGGGAAAACATTTGATGACATCTTTAGCTTGTTAATCAACAAGTTACAAAGTTTCAATTAAATTTTACAAAACAGAATCAATGAAAAGGTTGTTAAAAGCTAAATATCATTGTTTGTGGAAGTAAAAATATGATTATTGTCAATATAGCTGACAATTACAAGTATAGTTTCTAGCTGCTATCATCTTCCCATGGAGTAGCCAAGTGTTGCTCTATCGTAGCAATGGGCATCAGGGACATCATTTGGGTAGCCCCCCCCCCCTCCCTGAATTGGCAGGTTTTATTTAAATTGCTATGTACTTTGACGCCTCCGGTATTAAACAACTTAACAAGCCGACCCAGTTGTGGTTTTGCCCCCCCCCCCTGAAAAAACCATGAAACCCTGGGGGCATAGTCTATAGTAGCTGATTTATCCTTTTCATTTTTCGGAACTGATATACCAGACAAGTTAACATCATCTTCATCTAACCCATGAAGCACTTAAAATAGAAGCATTGTCGGTGTGAGCAATAAATGCCATAAGCTCTCTATCTCCTTACAGCTACTCGCATTGGTAAATCCTTTTTTTTTTTTTTTTTTTNTGTCTTGTTGGCCTAATTTTGTAATTCCTTTTTTTTTTTTTTTTTTTTGAGGACAGGTGCTAGTTTCTCATGCTAAGGGTGCATTGTTGGTGCTGTTGAACATTCTGTTTCAGCATGACTTGTGATGAAAAAAAGATGATACAGATTTTGCATATCCGTGCAAGCAGCGATGTTATTATTGTTACTCACTTTACTTTCACCTAATTCTCAAAATATCGTATTCCTACTCTATCACTAGCGTTTACCTTGACTGCACAGGACACTTGAACCTTGTTTTTGTTCCATACCTGCAACATGACCGCAAACACACCACCCTAGTCATTTGCCACAAATAGAATCTACCGTCGACGATAGGCCGATTGTCGACTTCTCTTGCGCTAACAAAGTGTGATCATATTGTAACCAGCCATCTGCGGTGAACGGACGGACACACATTAAATAAATCTTAATATCGTTAATACGCTAAAAAATTATAGGACTATTTACACTCATGCAATTTTGTTTATATAATGTCATAACCAATGTTCCCTTCAAGTTGCGTGGCTGCGCAGCCGCGCAGCTATCTCACAGATGCCGCGCAGCAGTTTTGAGTACCGCGCAGCTAATTTCCACTTAAGTGTGTGTTTGTGTCTGTAAGCTGTACAATTTTGCGCACAAAAAAAATTGATGCTGTCAAAATGTGCACACAACTTAATGATTTTTGCACACGAACCAACAAACCTTAGAGAGAACATTGGTCATAACCAGTCAATTTTTAAGATTATAATTTTAATAGAGAAAGTATGATTGTTGACGTCAAATAATCTTCACCCACCTCCCTCCCCTTGTCAACAACTGTCAAACATTTCCACTCCCCTCCCACCCCCACTATTTCGTTAACCAGAATTAATGGACTCCCCCCCACCCCCCTTGGTCCAAAGGCCGAGAAGCCCCCACCGATCTTTATCTAACGAATGGAACGTTCACGCAATGCTTTATGGTCACGTGCTCAAGCCCTGACCCAATCGTAAGACGGGGCTTATTTGAACTAAAAACACCCGGTCTGTAATAGAGCGACAACAAAATGAAGGTCATTGACCTTCTGCCACGGGCCTGACAGTGGTTAACCCGCGTACCAATATTTACATTTCCTTGTTTGGAAAATCCCCATGGCAGTTCTATATTTAAAAACATAAGAAAACCCCCACCTATAAATAGGTTAAAAAATTTTGTTTAAAAAAACATTAAGTCTAGTTATTTTTTATACTTTTTTGGTTTTTTTTTTTTTTTTCTTTGCAATTTTAACTTTTCTTTGTCTGATTGAAATCTTGCAACTCAAATTTCGACTTGCTCATTTGAACCGATGGACTTGAAATTGTTCTTGGCTACTCAGGACAGGGAACATGTTCCTTTACAACGATGGACTTGAAATTGTGCTTGGCTACTCAGGACCGGGACCATGTTCCTTTACACCGATGGACTTGAAATTGTGCTCGGCTACTCAGGACCGGGACCATGTTCCTTTACACCGATGGACTTGAAATTGTGCTCGGCTACTCAGGACCGGGACCATGTTCCTTTACACCGATGGACTTGAAATTGTGCTCGGCTACTCAGGACCGGGACCATGTTCCTTTACACCGATGGACTTGAAATTGTGCTCGGCTACTCAGGACCGGGACCATGTTCCTTTACACCGATGGACTTGAAATTGTGCTCGGCTACTCAGGACCGGGACCATGTTCCTTTACACCGATGGACTTGAAATTGTGCTCGGCTACTCAGGACCGGGACCATGTTCCTTTACACCGATGGACTTGAAATTGTGCTCGGCTACTCAGGACCGGGACCATGTTCCTTTACACCGATGGACTTGAAATTGTGCTCGGCTACTCAGGACCGGGACCATGTTCCTTTACACCGATGGACTTGAAATTGTGCTCGGCTACTCAGGACCGGGACCATGTTCCTTTACACCGATGGACTT